GCAGTGACATGCTCACGGCCACTGCAGCCTCAACCTGCTGGGCTTGGTGATCCTTCTGCCATAGCCTTCCAGGTAGCTGGAACTATGGGCATGCGCCACCATGCCTGGATAATTTTTTGATTTATTGTAGAGATGCGGTCTCGCCATGTTGCCTAGGCTGATCTCGAACCCGTGGACTCAGGCAATCATCTCACCTCGCCCTCCCAAAGTACTAGGATTATAGGCTTGAACCACCACTCCCAGCCTGGGAAAGATTTAAAAACAATTAAAACTGCTCATTAAACTGGAGGAAGGGCATTACTGCTGTGGCCCTCAATCACAAGACCTGAGATGTTAGAACATTATTTCTTCAATTTATGAATTTCTCAATAAACATTCTAGGAACCTCAAACATGGCTGGGCAGCCTGGAAAAGGTATAATAGGGATTGAGATTTGTATTTGGAAAGGTAGGCATAATTTGAAGATTTAATTTGAATAAAAAACTTTTTGTTTGAAAAATCCTTTTTTGAGTCCTATATACCTTAATTCCCAGCAGTAAACCAGGGAAGGTTGTTTGCCAGTCTCATGGGCTTGTTTCAAGGATTCAAATGAGATATATACCTTGTCTAGGAATTGTGTTTGGCCCTTACAGGGAAGTGTTCGTGTTCCTGGAAGTTTGTTTCTAGCTCTATGGTATCCCTCCTTGGTACCACTTAGAAATGTAAATCCTGATTTATACGTTTTTCTCCTAGCTCCTTCTAGGAAGCCCCTCTTTCCTCTCTATATATTCCCACCTTGATACTTAGTGAATGTTTACTAAATGAAAGGAATTTTTCTTTCTTTCAGGACTAAGTGAAGGCACTTACTTGGCCGCTCTTTGTGAGGAGAGAGTGGCGATTGTTTGTTTGAAGGCTACATTCAAAATTGGATTTGCTTCCAGGTTTTTACCAGTTTCACTTTGTTCCCATGAATTTATCTCACTATTTCCTGGAGCACGGTTGCTTTCACTCTTCATCACCTTTTAGAGTAACTACCTCCTTGAAGGTATGTGGTGTATTTGGTAGATTTGTCTGGAATTTTTTACCCTTCACTAAATTCTCTCATTCAGCTCTCACGTTTTAGTAGATTGCAATGTGCAAGTCTATCCTTCACTCCTAGGTTAACCTGGTCTTCTAAACTCTTCTGTTCCAGTGTGTTTTTCAGGAAAAGGAAAGTCAGTTTGAGAGGCAAGCTGGGAAGTTGCTGAACTCCCGGAGTAGTTAACAGATGATCTTTTCTGTTTAGTGTTTTCTTTTACACCTCAGCCAAGTGGCTCAGAGAAAACAGCTCTGTGTCTTACCCAGGAGGATCATGATTGGTTATAAATTGAGATAAGGTTTGAGGATGGACTGGGACAAGACATTTAGTTTACTCTTTGCATTTCTCTAGAAATCTAGAAAAAGTAAGAATGTTGTGTGGTGAAGGGCAGATTAAGGCTTTTCTTGTATGTAGTGAAAGGTCCTTCCTTGTGAAGAGGGCTGGTACCAGCCGTAGCATAAAGCCTTAGGGGTGACTCCGATGGAGAATTGCAATGTATTTTAGGTCACCAAAGCTGGAGACCATGCCTGAGACTTTTCAGCAGTGGTGAGATCCCTTGTGAGAGGTAGCAAACGTTCCCCTCGCAAGCAGAAGTAAAGAAGAAAACGTTCAGCTAACTTGTGTTTTTGAGAGTTAGACATTAAAGGAAGAAAATGCTAACTTTGTACTTGGGATTTTATATTCTCTGAAACCAAGCTCTAATTTGTATAACATGCTGTTTATGAGTAAGAATTAGAAAGTTTTCAGTGTTTTTTTATTATTCTAATAAAGTGCAGTTTTAATAGAAAATATAATTAAATTGATCATGTGCTGTTACTGGTTTCTATATACTATTCATCTCTAATTACACACCATCTTTCCTGGAGAAGAAACAATTGAACTCTAATAATAGGGTTTAGAACAGGCTTGCCAGAAAGGATGCTCCCTGCGGCAATTTCCACATCATGTGTCCATGGCGGACAATGGCTGTTGATTTCTGCACTGTCTCCCAGTGTTTCTTCTGGGCAGCCACTGTCTATCCATCAATCAGATGGCCCCAAGATGAAACCACTGCCCTCCCTGATCTAAGAGGAAATAAATAGTAAGCTTTGAAAGGGTTGGCCTTACAAATGTAAACTTGTAAAGTGGGGGTTTGCCAATGCCTTGGGGAGTTTTGTGAACTGTCATCTTTTCCTTCTGTAACCTTGGCTCTTACATCCCATTCTTCTGTACCCTTTGAACCTTCTTCTACTCCAGGGTGTTTTTCTTGAGAGCAAGGCGATGGCAGTAAACACACAGATGTTTGAGTATGGCTATACCAGAAATATTGCAATAGGGGAAGAATTCCTTATTCTGCTTTCCCTCTGCCAGTATTTTTCTGAATGTCATCGGGCTAATGTCTACAAAGATTCTTGCCTTACTTTACTCAATCCTAATTGTAAGTTTAGAGCCACAGCCTTTTTTTTGTGAGTCAGAATCTCACTGTCGCCCAGGCTGGGGTGCAGTGGCACGCTCATGGCCACCGCAACCTCGAGCTGCTGGGTTCTGGCGATCTTTCTGGCTCAGCCTTCCAAGTAGCTGGAACTACAGGCACACACCACCACACTCGGTTAATTTTTTGATTTATTGTAGAGACAAGGTCTCTCCATGTTGCCCAGGCTTGTCTCGAACTCTGGGCTCAGGCAATGCTCTCGCCTCCTCCTCCCCAAATGCTGGGATTACAGGCTTGAGCCACCGTGCCTGGCAAGCCACAGTCTTTTAATGTAATTTGGGTAATTTTTGTTTTAGATGCTTTGCTGTGCATGATATACATCGTTAACTTGCTTACTCATATAGTCCCAGAAAGGACTTTTTGCATTGTATCTTCATAGCATGTGTCCATTCCAAAACCAAGGCTGTGGCTTTTACTAGGTATTCCCTGCGCCAGGTACCATATGAGAAAAGTCATCAGGGTGCTGTCAGAAACTTTCGCAGTTATCTCTTCTAAAAAGAGTCCATCCAGACCCTTTCTGTTCCCTAAACGACATATCTTTGATACATCATATATGGTCTTCAAAGGTAGATATTTTATTTCCTGTCTCTCAAGTGGGAGAATGGAAAGTTCCCTTTTTGAATCATGTTCTTATTTTGTCTGCTTTTTGAAAGTACTTATGATAGAAATTAAATATTCATGCAGGTTTGGCATGCCATTTGAAGGTGGCACTATTATGCATTCTTCAGTAATTCTCTGGTTGTAATTTGCCTTTCTGTATCTGTGACTGTCTCTGAGGAACATTGTGTTCTTCTGATTTCTCCTGTTACACTAGGAAAGCACATAGTGTAATAAAACTCGTTAACATGTCAGAGAATTATACCTTGGGGAGTATAAGGATTTCTTTAGGAACTTCTCCTTTTAGGTACAGAAAGATAAGTGGGCCTTTCCTTCCAGTGACAAAACCATTCAACTTTCTGGTAATTGCGAAGACTTCATGGGTCCTGAATAACTAGATTCTTTTCCTTGAAATGATTGATGGGCAGGGACAAAACAGCATATTCTGTGTCTAATAATAAGGCTTCATTTCTGTGAATATTTCTTTTTGTTTATGGCATATCTAGCCCTGCATACAAGCTGTAAAGAGGGAAAGCTTTGCTTCACCTACTAACTGTTCATTTCAGACACCATTCTTCTGATTTGTGACTCAGTATTGTCATCTGTTGACTGGGTGTAGCAAAACAGTCTTAGGAACCGGAAGATCAAGTGAGATGAGTCATTAGTAACTTAGTCTAGCTTCTAGCACATACTAACGTGGTTACTATCTTTATTTTGTAGGTGTTTCTGTACCTATAGAAAAGAGGCCAGCTTCCCTCCCCCATCTCCCCTTTGCCCTCTACTTCTGCCTTCCCTCATCTTATTCCCAGCAGTACATTCATCCTGGACAGTAGGAAGACTGTTTACCTTCTATTTCTGTCATGATACAGTTTCTTTGTCCTACAGTCTTTGGAAAACTTGCAAACTGACCTCAAAGGATCAACCAACCAGCCCAAGACCTTTCTTTGGACATGTTAACGTCTTTCTGAAATAATGTCACTTTGCAGTCAGCTACGACTTGCTTTCCTTTCCCTAAAACATTTTATTTCAGTTGAGATACAGGGATTCTTAGATTACCAGCCAGATCCCTGAATAATAGTACTTTGCCCAACAGGCAAAACTCATGTGTGCTATTTGAAGTCAGGACAGTGGTGACCTTTTGGGAGAGCGGTGTTCACTTTAGGAAAATTTATTAAGCCACTCAAAACTTCTGGGCTTATTAATTTTTTAAAAAGGTACCTTTTCTCCTTACTGCAGGTACCCTAATTCACATGTATATTTTACTTACAAATGGTCATATTTTATTTTTAGTTGAGAAAGTCTTTCATGAAATGAGGAAGCATTTTTGGCCTTTAGGGTAATGTGGGTTAAAGTGTATTTGTAATTGTTTGATCATGCACTTATGTATGTGGTCTGTGGTTGTTCCACTTAACTTATTATTGATTGCATTTTGATAAAACTGAAAATTTAAACATGTTGCTACTCCTTTTTACTCCAGGATAGTAATTCATATGGTTTGAAAAATGTGCTTTCTTGCTTATCTTTTTTTTTTTTTATATATATAGTCAATTAGCAGTTATTTAACTGAATGGAGGAGGATAACTTATAAAAGTACATGGTCTTAAAACTCATGTTGTACCATTAGAGGCATTTGTTATGCCATTTTGTATTGGCATTGGATTTACATGCTTGCTTTTGTTAGTTTTGCCCAGTAGAAGCTTACTCTGAATACCATGACATCCAGAAATTAGTCAGGAATTGGAAAGAACACTTTTTTTTTTCCTGTGGACAGATAATAAGAAGTAAATAATAGCTACCTTGGATTTTAGCTTTTTTTCTTATAAGCAGCTCATTACACAAAGGTTGAGCTTTAATTTACATATTATTTTCTTCTAGATTGGAAGAAAGACTGATGAAAAATAACAGCATGATTCAGGTAAATGGATTTTTAATTTCTTTATTTACCTTTTTGCTTAGTTTATATTTTCTGTGTTTTGTCAATGAGAAGATCTAAACAAACAATTTTTTTTGTGGTCAATTTGAGTATATTAGGAATATTTTGGGGATATAGGTTAATCAAACACATATTACCATAAAATTAATCTAGTTAAGTACATATATTGAACAATTCTGTATTTATATAAAACAAAATACTTTAACTAATGCTTTTTTCCCCACCCTAGAATTACTTCTTTCAAGTCTTTACATACATATTTGACATCAGTTTCTTCATCATTTGAGTCACATTTCTGAAGCATTCAATACCATTTTCCACAACACATTATCATTTTAGTTGTTTGCAATATAGCATTTTTGGAATTCATGTGTGATAGTGTGTTTAGAGATTTGTATAATATTAGGATAGCTGCTATTTTTATTCTTTCTGTGTAGATGAACATTGAAGATCCTCACTGTGTAACAATTTGTAGAATTGCTTTGTTAAATCACCTCTCTCTCTCTTTCTTTCTCTCTCTCCTATTTATTTATTTTATTTATTTAGAGATAATTGCATGAACATTGTTTAATAATTCAAACAATACTATAATAACCATTCTTTGTTCTTTTTATGCTTTTATTGCCTCTTTCCTTAAAGATGGTCCTTTCAAACCATTTTAGTTGTATTTTCTGATACTCACCTACCTGTTCCTAAACAATACACTGTATGCTTCAAGTACCATTTATTGATTTATTTGAAATTTTAGACTTACATGTTGATTTCCTGCTGAAGGTTTATGTCTCATTGACAACTCTTAGCCCTTAGTACACACCTACTTTTCTTGTATCTCCATTTTCTTGATGTAGCCATACTATAGTCTCTGTTTAGATATTAACATTGGCCGGGCTCGGTGGCTTGGCCTGTAATCCCAGCACTTTGGGAGGCTGAGGCGAGTTGATTGCCTGAGCCCGTGGGTTTGAGACCAGCTCAGGAAACTTGGTGAGACTTCTTCTCTACGATAAATAAAAAAAAATTAGCTGGGTGTGGTGGCGCACACCTGTAGTTCCAGCTACTTGGAAGGCTGAGGCGAAAGGATCGCCAGAGCCTAGCGGGTCGATGCCGGGTTGGCCATGAGTGTGCCACTGCACTCCAGCCTGGGCCACGGAGTGAGACTCCAACTCAAAAAAAAAATTTTTTTTTAAATAGTATTTACTTTATTATGACTATATTTTGTTGGTGATTGAGTTCTGTGATATAAGTTATGTCTTAGGCCATTCAATTAGGAAATCTTCCTTCCTTCCTTTCTTCCTTCCTTCCTTCCTCTCTCTCTCTCTTTCTATCTCTCTCTCTCTCTCCCCCTTTCTTTCTTTCTTTTGTGTTGGAGTCTCACTCTGTCTCTCAGACTGGAATGCAGTGGCATGATCACAGCTCACTGAAGCCCTGATCTCCTAGGCTCAGGTGATCCTTTTGCCTCAACCTCTTGAGTAGCTTTCACTATTGGCATGAGCCACCACACTTGGCTAATTTTAAACAATATTTTGTAGAAATTAGGTCTTACTCTGTTGTTTAGTCTGGTCTCAAACTCCTAGTCTCAAGCAATCTTCCTGCCTTGACCTCCCAGAGTGCTGGAATTACAAGAGTGAGCCACTGTACCCCATCTGGAAATTTTCTTGTAGTGTATCTTTGATAATTTCTTTTTTCCTTTTTCTATTTTCTGATAGTCTGCTAGTTGGGTATTTGGACCTACTGACTTGATCCTCTAGTTTTATGTGTTATTGTTCTACTTTCTTAGTATGTGTTGAATTTTTAATTTCTGCTAGCATTTTTATAGTTTTTAAATTAATTTTGGGGGGTCTCTGAATATTTCCTTTTTTCTTTTTTTTTTTTTTTTTGAGTTGAAGTCTTACTCTGTCACCCAGGCTGGAGTGCAGTGGCACGATCATGGCCACCACAGCCTTGACCTGCTGGGCTCAGGCAATCCTTTCACCTCAGCCTTCCAAGTAGCCGAAACTACAGGTGTATGCTATCACACCCAGCTAATTTTTTATTTATTGTAGAGACAGGTCTCGCCAAGTTGCCCGGGCTGGTTTTGAACCCACGGGCTCAGGCAATCCTCTCACCATGGCCTCCCAAAGTACTGGGATTACAGGCTTGAGCCACTGTGCCCAGCCGAATATTTCCTTTTAAAAAATAGGATTCAGTTTTTGTTCCACAGGCACAAGATTTTCTCATTGTTTTTGAGAATATGAGTTGAATTATTTTGCTGTTTTCTTCTGCTCTTTGCTTATTTTTCTGTTTAGTTCCCTTTTTCTTTCTTTCTTTTTTTTTTTTTTTTTTTTTTTTTGAGTTGGAGTCTCACTCTGTCACCCAGACTGGACTGCAGTGGCTGCTCCCGGCCACCGCAGCCTCGACCTGCCGGGCTCCTGCGATCCTTCTGCCTCAGCCTTCCAAGTAGCTGGAACTACAGGCGTGTGCTACCATGCCCGGATAATTTTTGATTTATTGTGGAGATGAGGTCTCGCCAAGTTGCCTAGGCGGGTCTCGAACCCGCGGGCTCAGGCAAACCACTCACCTTAGCCTCCCAAAGCGCAGGATTATAGGCTGAGCCACCGAGCCCGGCTAGGTTCCCTTTTTCATCTGCTTATTTTGATCCCTGATTTTAATATTCAAAGCTTTTCTCAAATGAATGGTGAAGATTTCATTGTCTGTTCATACTTAAGAGTGAGGCAGTAAAGAGTGAACTAGAAATTTGTTACCTTGTAGGCTTTGGGCAGGGACCTGGCCATTCCAGTAGGTGACTCTCACACATTAGAACCTGCAGATATTTTTTCTTGGACCTTTCAGTTTCTCCAAAAAGGAATTCTCTGTTCACTTTTCTAGGGGAGGGTATATATTTGTGAAGATTTGGGAAAGCCAAAAGTCTTACCGTCCACACTCTTAAATGCTTAGATCTTAATGCCTCTGTTTGAGCCTTATCTGATGTCCAGGTCTGAAGAGTTGCTGTATTATTTTCTCTAGAGATCAAACTGCCTCCTGTTAAGAGAGTAGGGATGGTTTGTTTGGCTTTATCAGGTAGATGTGAGAAGATCTGGGGTTCTAACTGCCTCCCCCTTTTCTTTTTTCTTAAAACAGCACACATTTATTATCTTACAGTTCTGTAGCCCAGAGTCTGATGTGGGTCTCACTAGGCTAAAATCAAGATGTTCACAGGCTGCATTTCTTTCTGGAGGCTCTAGGAGAGAATCTATTTCTTTTCTGTTCCTAGCTTCTAGAGGCAGGCTGCATGCCTTGGCTTCTGGCCCTCTTCCATCTTTAAAGTCAGCATTAGTGGGTCAAATAGTTCTCACATTCCTTTACTCTGACCTCCTCAGCTGTCTCCCTCTTGCATGTTTAAGGACCCTTGTGATCATATTGGGTTTACTCAGATAATCCAGGGTATTCTATTTTTTTTATATTGTGATAGAAAACACATGACATCATGTTTATCATCTTAATCATTTTTAAGTGTATAGTACAGTCGTGTTATGTGCACATTGTTGCCTAAGACCTCTAGAACATTTTCATCTTGCAAAACTGAAACTCTATACCTGTTGAACAACAACTCCTGTTTTTTCTTCCTCTCCACCTTGTAGAAACCACGATTCTACTTTCTGTTTCTGTAAGTTTGACGACTTTAGAAACCTTATATGTGTGGAATCATGCAGCGTTTGTCTTTTTGCGACTCTCTTGTTTCACTTAGCATAATGTCCTTAAAGGCTCATCTGTGCGTAGTATATCACAAGATTTCCCTCTTCTTTTTTTTTTTTTTTTTTTGAGTTGCAGTCTCACTCTGTCACCCAGACTGGAGTGCAGTGGCCGCTCCCGGCCACCGCAGCCTCAACCTGCTGGGCTCCGGCAATCCTTCCACTTCAGCCTTCCAGGTAGCCGGAAATACAGGCATGCGCTACCATGCCCAGCTGATTTTTTGATTTATTGTAGAGATGAGGTCTCGCTGCCAAGGCAGGTCTCTAACCCGCGGGCTCAAGCAATCCACTCGCCTCAGCCTCCCAAAGGCGCGGGATTACAGGCTGAGCCACCGAGCCCAGCGATTTCCCTCTTCTTTAAGGTTGAATACTATTCTATTGTATATACATATAATATTTTCTTTATTTATCTGTCAGTGGACATTTAGGTGACTTCCACCCCTTGGTTATTGTGAACAATGCTGCAGTGAACAGGGGTGTGTAAATATCTTTTCAAGATCCTGTTTTCAATTCTTTCAGATATAAACTAGAAGTGAGATAGCTGGATCATATGGTAGTTCCATTTTTAATTTTTTGAGAAACTGCCAGACTATTTTCCATACTGTTGTACCATTTTACATTCTTACCAACAGTGTAAAAGAATTCCAATAAATTTCTCCACATCTTTGCCAACAATTGCTATTTTATGGTTTGTTTGTTTGTTTGTTTGTTTTTGTTTTGATAGTGGCTATTCAGAGGAATGCAAGATAGTATCTCGTGGTTTTGATTTGAATTTTCCTGATGATTAGTGATGGTTGAGCATCTTATCATGTGCTTGTTGACAGTTTGTATATTTTCTTTGGAGAAATGTCTATTCTAGTCCTTTGCTTATTTTTGTTTTTATTTTTATTTTTTTGAATTGGAGTCTCACTCTATCACCCAGACTGGAGTACAGTGGCATGCTCTCAGCCACCGCAGCCTCGATCTGCTGGGCTCCAGCCATCCTTCCGCCTCAGCCTTCCAAGTAGTTGGAACTACAGGCGTGTGCTACCATGCCTGGCTAATTTTTGATTTATTGTAGAGACGAGGTCTTGCCAAGTTGCCCAGGTGGGTCTCGAGCCCACGGGCTCAGGCAGTCCACTCGCCTCAGCCTCCCAAAGTGCTGGCATTACAGACTGAGCCACTGAGCCCGGCTCTTTGCTTATTTTTACATGGTGCTATTTGGCTTTTTGTTGTTTAGTTGTGGGGAGTTCTTAATAGTATATTCTGGTTATTAACACCTTACTAGATATATAGTTTGCAGATATTTTCTGTAGTTGCCCTTTATCCTCTCTTGATTGTTTACTCTAGTTTTTAAGTTTGATGTTATCCCATTTGCCTATTTAGCTTTTTTTTTTTTGAGTCAGAGTCTCACTGTGTCACTTGTGCTTTTAGTGTCATATTCAGGAAATCATTGCTGACTCCAGTGTCATGAAGCTTTTCCTTTATTTTTTTTAATAGGAATTTTATAGTTTCAAGTCTTACTTTTAGGTCTTTGATCCATTTTGAGTTAACTCTTGTATCTGGCATAAGGTAAGGGTCTGCTTTTTATACAGATTTTCACCAACCCCCCCACTTTTCAGTACCATCCCTCACCCTGTCTTTCTGATGAACTAGAAGCTTCCTTTCCTGAGTGTTTCTGCCATAGTCAGCTGGCTGTTTGTCTGCTTTTTAGGCTGTGAGGTTCCCACTGGCTGTGCTGGGCTCCACAATTACCTTTGTTTCCAGACATCATTGGAGTCTAATGTCTGCTTTAATGTAGTTTTCTATTCCTTTTGTCCTTACAGATTTTTGTCTTTTTCTTGCTTTACTATCATTTTAATGGGGATTTAGAGGGAAGCAGAGATGAACAGGCCTATTCCCTTGGCCATCTGTAACCCCAAAATTCATATTGCTCTTTAAAATAATATTTAAAAGACTTCTTAAAGATGGTGCCTCATATTTACTATTGTGCAGTTCCACCTCCAAAAATAATTGTTAAACCTGTTTTTTTGCTTCCTTTTTGTTTACCAGTTTCTGGTAACCTGTAAGCATTATTTACTTTCCCAAACATTTTTTCCTTATTCAAAACAGACTGAGATTCTTATCTGTAATATGAGACATGATGAGGTTTTGTGACACCCTATTTCCTGAGGTATAATTTTTGCATGTGTATGTTGAAAAAACTCTTGGATTTATCTTTGGGTTTTTAAACCATATGTTGGTATCATCAGAAGATGATGTTTTTTTATGTAAATATAGTTTACTTTGAGGCTTTAATGGAACACTTTTCATGTAATGGCAAGCGAGTGTTAGTTTTTTTGTGTTTGTTTTATTATTGTTTTAATTTATGACAGGTACTTTCTTTGTGACTGATTATTTACAGGGGTAGCAGATAGGATAAGGAATGATTAAATGGGAAGAATTGCCTGGTATAGCTAGGTCTTTAGATCTAGTTATCAAGAGTAGTAGTTTTTTTTTTGTTGTTGTTGTTCTCTCAGAGTTATTTCTTTATGGAATTAAGCTTATTATTTGGCTCTAGATATCAGTTCTCCAGTTTGGTACGTGAACGCCCTGTGTTTTTTATCCTGAGGTCCAGGGTTGGCTTCAAGGAGCTCATGGTTTTATTAAAATTAGAGAGGAAGGGATGGAATAGCCTTAGTTTTCATCTGATACTCGATTCTTTAGGGCTTTTGTGATCTGGAAGAAAACTGAGAGCCTACTTCTTAGAAATTATCATAGCAAAATAAGAGACTGTTACTAATTAAAGTAAATACAATAAAAATAAGATACAAGTTACTGTGAATGGAGCACTAAATGAATAACCCTCTTTGTTCTTTATCAGGTGCAAAACAATATCTCTAGCTTCCTGGTTATGCTACCAGGAAAAGTGTACTATTTATGCATATATAAATATAAAAGGTATCACTTATAAGGGTAATGTTTTGGCCCCAGAGAGATGACCAACTTTTTATAAGTGAATTTGTAAAAGAATAGTAACTTAGTAGTTAGCTTTGTTTTCAGTTTAGAGTGGAAACTTCAAACATAAACTTAATTTATGATAAGCAATAATTTGACAGTTAAAGATAGTAGATAATATGTAAAAGGAGAAACACCTTTATGCGATAGAGAGGTAAAGACTTAGTTTTTAATTGTGAAAAGATGGGGTAAGTTTTATGTTATACATATTTTATTATAATAAAAAATACAAAAATTAAAAAGTTAAAAAAGAAAGAAAAGATGGGGGGGTAGGTGGAGAATGTTCATTGTGAATTTTTTGTTTCCAAGTTAATATATACTTTAATGCTTTTCTTTATAGTCTGCACTGAATTCGGCTTTAGTGAATTTTATGATTCCATTTTGAAATGGTTAAGCTTAAATTGCTCCTCTGTTCCAGACACACCACTGAGTTCTTTGGGATGCACAAAAGTGTCTTGTTGGGAAGCATGAGATAGAAGACAAGACCCTGCCTCAGCCAGCGTACATGAGAATAATTCTAAAGGAACCTATCGATAAATGCAAAACAGTAGCTGTTGGAGGTATGTAATAATGGGACCTGGATTGAACCTGGTGTGGCCCACTCAGCTTTATTGAGTCAAGTTGAGCTGTTATCTGCAAATGGAAACTCTTAGGGCAGAATCCTCTGCTCTAAATATCTGGTGTCTGTTGTTCTCTAAACTTAACTATGTGGTGGGATGTGACTCTTCACTCTTTGAAGAGCTCTGATTCAGCCCCTTGAGAGTCCTTCTCAGAGCCTCAAGGACAGTTAAGAAAATAGAAGTAACATTAGACTCTGATCAGATGAAAATAATAGCAAATTTTTAGCTAAAGACCCCATTCATTGCCATCTTTCTTGGGCATAGAACAGTCAGTGTCAAAGCTCAGCAAATGTGTCCTTTGAACTAGCTGTTATTTATTGGTTTTACCCTGAATTTTATCAAGGCCATTTCTGATTGGCTGGTGGTTGCTTCAGATTGACTGGTTCCCTGTTAGTCATTTACTTTGACCTGCTTTTCTCCTTGACCCCTGTTAAATGCTTACCTTATTTTCTTGGTTTCAGTCTTTAATTTTTATCGATGAGATAAAAACGGAGTTTGTCATCAAGGTCAGTCACCCATTATTTCATTTCCTGTGACCTTCAGTGGATGTCTGGCTTTAGATGTGCTGCCTCTTTGCTTAAGGCATAGCCTTAAGCATAGTCGTGTTCTGTGTAACCTTAATCCTTTAGGATTTTTGGTTTTGTTCCACCTATCAATACAGAATACTATAGGTATACTCTGCATCACACCCATGAAAGCATTAAACAAGGCTCATTTTGTAGATGGGGAAATGAGGTTCCAAGTGGTTAAATAACTGGCCTTCTATTTCCCAGCGAAAAAGTGACAGGAATGGGATTCAGCACTAGGTCTGTTTCTCTCAAACTGAGGACCATGGAAATAGTAGGTCCTGCTGTTTTTCCCTTTTGGAAGCAGGGTTTTTAAAATATCCTCATTCTTGTGGAATTTTAATCTCTTCTCTACTTTTTTTCACCATTATTTGCTCCCCCCCCATTTCATGGCCTCTTACTTGGTTTATAATTATATTGATAGCAATTTGTATTGTATTACAATTAAATATTTTCATTTATTGTTTTTATAATTTCACTGATAATATATTACTGGTATGGGATATTATTAAATTATGCCCTCTTTCTAACATAAACTTTGATATCTTTTCAAATCCTATGCTTTCTGAGCTGATTATGAGGCCACCATGGGAGACAAGAGTGACTTTCTTATTTCTAATAGAGTCCTGTTGTATCTGTGGCACCCTCTGAACCACTGCCCAGTTTCTTTCAGTATGGAGTTAGTAAAGGTGATACAGGAGAGAAATGATAAGATTTTGCCAGAAATCATCTCATATAGTTCACAAAGTTGTTTTAGACCCTGCACTCTCTAAAACAGGGATCTGCAATCCTGTGCCATGCACTGGTACTAGTCCGTGACCTGTTAGGAACTGGGCTGCACAGCAGGCAGCGAGCAACTGCGAGTGAGCAAACTTCATCTATATTTACAGCCACTCTCCATTGCTGGCATTATCGCCTGAGCTCCGCCTCCTGTCAGATTAGCACTGAGAAGCCTGCTTCCATTTCCAGTAGCTTATCTTTACGAAGCAGGGTTTTATGCAGTGACAGTAACCGAAACAAGATTACAGAGTAGACTTTGGGTGTCAGTCTCCTATCACCCCCAGATGGGACTGTCTAGTCATTGGAAAATAAGCTCAGGGCTCCCACTGATTCTGCAGTATGGTGAGTTGTATAATTATTTGATTATATATTACAATGGAATAATAATAGAAATAAAACGCACAATAAATGTAACATGCTTGAATAATCCTGAAACCTTCCTCCCCTGGTCCCTGGAAAACTTTGTCTTCCATGAAATCAATTCCTGATGCCAAAGAGGTTGGGTACCACTGCTCTAAAATATAGAATATCTACTCAGGTGCTTTGTGTTGGCTTAGTGAACACTTCCAGTGTGTATAGCTGAGAAGTTGCCCTGAAGAATGTAGATTGTAAGTTTAAGTGAGTTTAAGAAGATATGGTATCCATTTTTTCAATAAGGGGTTACATGATTTGAAAAGTCAATGTTTTTAGATTTCTAGAATGTTTTTATTAAATTAGCAGATGTATATACTACTAAATGTTTTAAATCTTTACTAAAATCCTAGGAGGTAGTATGGTCAACTACACTGAAAAATGATAAACCGAGGCTTATGAAGTTATGAAATTTTCCCAAGCCTGTGTGGTTAGAAAATGGCAGAACTAGAATTGGACCTAGATCTGTTTGGTTTCACTGTCAGTGTTTCTAACGATTACACTGTCTTGCTGATTACACACACCAATGGCGTTTAGATCACAAACATATCTAATATCCTTATGTTTTGCATTCACACAAAGGCAGTCCAAAAACAGTTAAATAAGCCTCATCCTCACAGAAGCGGAGGCTTCTAGATGGGATTGGTGCTGTTCATTGGTGAGGTTTTGTCAGGACAGTGGCAATTCTAGTTTATGGTAGACTGACTGATCCACTCTTGAAAACGGGGAGATGTGTCTGCTCGGGCCACGTGTCATTTCTCACCCAGTGCTTACTGGGTTGCCAGCACCAATTAGGGTCAACTCACCTTAGCAAGTACATGAGCCGGTGTTTTTTCCAAAGCAAGTTGAGACTTAAATGTGGCCACACAGTCACACTGTTAAGGACAGCTCTGGCAATTACATGTGAATCTCAGAATTTTAGGTATACCATATCATTTCAGTAAGTAAAATTTCTTTTTGTTTTTAAATGTGTCTTTTCCTGATATTTACATAGGAAATTTAGTAAATGTGGAAAAGTTTAAACAACAAAATAAAAGCCACTACTCAGAGATAGCCGTTGATGGTATTTTGGCATAGATGTTTCCAGTTTTTATTCCTTTGAGTATGTATGCTTTCTTTGAAAATATTAAAATTAAAATCATAGTGTTTTATATCACTTTTACTTAGTAAACCAGCAGCATTTGCCCTGTGTGCTTAAACATTTTTTTTACAACATATTATAAGTAGTTGCAAAGTATTCCCTTTTAGTACTAGCATAAATGATTCCATCCTATTATTAGGTAGACTCATTCAGTGTAGTTAGAACCTCTCCAGATTAGGTCACAGTGGTAGGACAGATGTATTAAAATAAATGAGTACTTCATAATTGCCACTAGTTTTTATATGTCTTATAAAATAACTAATGGAGACTTAGGATATGATGAGAAAAACCCATTTTGATCACTTCTCAGTGCACCTGACTTGTAAATTTCCCAGTACAAATGCTGTGCACACTTGTAGCACTGGAAATTCTCTTTTGACTGGGAAACCTTGCAAACTCCTTTCTTTTTTTGAGGTGGTCCATCTGTGACAAGTAACTTCAGTGTTTTCATAATTAAATGAAACTTTCTCAGATCCTGATTTGCAGTCGGTTTGGCCTTCCTAGTTAACTATACTAGCTAACTAAACATTTTTTCTTCTCCCTTTTAAGCTAAATATTTTACATGGGCTAAACCTTGGGTCTGCAGCTACACTAACTCAAGGAAGCCCCACGCCTCATGAATGATGCTGCCTTTATGTTCTGGTGCAGAGAAATTCATCATGCAGTATAATAGTAATATGGCTGTTCCTGAAATCGAGGAGTTCTGTCCCAGGAATTAGAATGATCAAGCTGAGAAATTGATTACAATGGAGACAGCTGGGCGTTTACCAGAAGCACTCTACTTAGAAAAGTCTCCTTACTTATTGTTCTTCTCTTAAAACTATCATTGTTAAGTTAAATCATTATCATTCTCTCCAGACTTTTGGTTTCCGCATATGGTTCCTTCTTGCTCTTGGGGTTCTAAAGTACCATGGTGGCAGATAAGGGATGAGGGAGGAGGACAAGGCCATTGACCTCCTTATGGTCCTGTCAACCAGCAGCTCTGCTTTTCTGTTTTATGTATTGCACTTCCACAAATTTTTACCGACAGAAGGGACTGCTGCTTGAGGAAGTAAAGACTGTGAAAATCACTGTGGCATGTAGATCCTATGGAGGATTTAAAAAGATGGAAAATAGATGTTCACACAGGATTACTTTTCAAGTTTTTATTATGCTTGTAATTTTTCTGCAGTGACACTTGGGTTTGGTACTCACCATGGACCCTCTGGTTGGAATTCCCATAGACCAACCTGTTTTAGGATAGTGGTTTCCCTAGAGGCACCCCAGACATTTTAGTTAGGGAAGATGAAGGAGTGATAGCCTTACAAACATTGGTGGTATCATTAAAAGTACCCATTAGCGCTGAGATCAGTGAGTGGTGGAAAGTGTAACCACTTAAAGACCCTAGAAGACTGGTTTCTGTATTCTTGTTGGTGTGGGTTACCCCCAGGAGAATTCTCCTTTCACCTAAGTGATGTAGAATGTGAAATTCAGCCTTGACATTCTGTGAAATCTTTATTATCTATTGTTAAACTCTTTTAAAACATTTTGGGTGGGCTCTCTTAAATTGAGGATTTATATTGGTGAATCATGCAACTGTCCACTCCTATATCAGGAATTTTAGTGGTGTTTGTTCCACAGCTCAGTTGACTGACTAAAGAATTTCTCTAAAGACATTTTTAACCAGTGAAGATTGGGGAATCAACTGAAGAATTTGCAATGGCTAATTTAGGGTTGGTACTCAGAGTCCTTATCAACAATTATCAATCTTAACTGTTTATTTACAAGACAGTTGATACAGGGGTGTCAATATATGAAGATCTTACACATGAAAGCATTCAGTTATTCAAAGAATGAGCTTAGTCTTGAGGTGAAAACTGGAGAGAAAATTCTTGCTTTCTCCATCTGGAAAAGAGTAAATTATGCCCAGGTTGCAAATGTAACAGTACGCATGGGTGTCCAATAGGGCCTGAGTTGTTTGTAGGCTGGCTGCCACAGACCCTGACCTATTTCTGGTTCGTAGTATATGACTGCAATCCTTGGGGTGACATTCACATTTAGCA